AGGACCTTGACCAGTTACGCGGCTAACGACAAACGTAACGGGTGTTTTCTGGTTGGTGATTTGGTATATTCCCTTGAATTTGGGTGCCAACTTTCCAGTTCCATCTGCTACAGGCTCTTGGCGGCGCACCCAGACGAACTGGCCGACTTGGAAGGAGTGGTCTCGATGGGACTGATCATATGCTGTCTTCCGTTTCCCTTGTGCTTCCTTACGAACGCGAACTTGCCAGTAAGCAAACTTTAGGTCAAGGCAGGCGAAGTACTGTGACCCAGCAATGTCATCCATGATGTCATCCGCATGTGGAAGTGGTTGCACGACGTTCACAGTCATCTTGTTTAGGGGCACATAGTTAACACAAAGGCGCTTCTTGCTACCTCGGCTGACAACCACTGCGGGGAATGCCCAAGGTCCTAAGGCTGGTAGAATGATGCCTTGCCGAAGGAGTGTGCTTATTTGAGCCTCAAGAAAACGACGGTCTGCAGCCGAGTAACGGTAAGGGGATCGACTGTATGGCACAGCATCGGGAAGAAGGTCGATTGAGTGTTCAACACCCTCGTACAGACCTAAGTCATCCTCTTCACGAGCGAATACTTCAGCGTGCTTCGAAAGAATGCTCGTGATTTCCCGTTGTTGGTGTGCTGGCAAATGGCTACCAACCTGAGCGGCAGGCAAGGATGGGTCAATGCAAACCTCTATTGTTGAAGAAGCACCTCGCCTGCATTCAGAAGACGGGCCGTTGGTGTTTGAAACCTCATATTGACAAGATAGTGCTAACCACGGGGGTTCATCTGGGCCTGGGAGTGGCATTCGCTGGAGGCCTGCTGAGCTGTGGTGTCCAGATACATGGTAATTGAAAGATGACCCCTGGATCATAACAGCGTTCGACATCCTGGGCAACAGTCGCTCATAGCACCGCACACTTGTTCCTGTGGTGGGATGACGAATTTCAGTTGGCATGGGTGGCTGGAACACCAACTGTGCGTGACTGGCAGCAAACCAGTCTTCCCCCAATATAAGTGGCATGGCATTGTTATCGAGGACGGCGGCTTCCACCAAACCGGTGATGGGTCCCACAGAGATCTTCAAGCAGATAGCACCAGCAGGAGCCACTGTCGTTCCTCCAACGACAACTAGAGGGGGTCTGGTCCAGGGCAGGAGGGGCAAAGATCTGACAAGGTGACGAGAAACAAGTGTCACCTTGGAACCACTGTCTGGAAATGCGTCCACTTGGCCGCTTCCAGCAATTGTGGCGTTTACAAGGGCGCATTGGACCAGCGATCCATCAAGGGTCTCGGAAAGTGTGCTGTGAAGAGCTGGCGAAGGATGCGTTGTAGACTGTGTGACAGTAGCTCTGGATGGGCACTTTGAAGCTAGATGTCCTTTTTGGCGGCATTGAAAACACACGGCTTCGGCCAAGTTCTGGCCAGAACGGTAGGCAGGAGCGCCGTGCCTCGTAGAGATGGTCAGGTACCGAGCCTCTTGTTGGTCTGGTGGTAGGGCTGCGATTCGCTGCGGCTGTCTTGTTTTGTCTGGTACCGCCTGAACATTCGTGCGCTCTTCACTGTGGTGGGGCACCTGTGGGCTTGGCATTACTAGTTTGGTGCTTGAATACCCTGGGCGTGGGAGTCGACGAGACAAGTGGCTCAATGTTTGGTCAAGCTGCGTTACGATGTCCATATAGGCGGCGACGGTTTCTGGCCGTTGTGCTGCTATAGTAGTGGCCAGGTTCTCGTCGGAAATGCCCTGAAGGGCGTACTCTATGCGCTGAGTGTCGGTAAGAGTGACTGGGCATCCCGAAATGAGCTTCAACTTCGCCAAAGAATAGTGGACCAGGTTCTCTCCGTGCGCTTGCACGCGACAAGTAACAGCTTGTTGCCACTGTAGTAAGGTTTGCTTGGCGCTGAATTGATCCAAGAAAGCTTGCCTGAAGGCGTCCCAGGTGGGACACTGACGGCCAATGACTGCTTTCCAATCCGCGGCTGCTCCACGGAGCTTTCCCAGAGCGACGGCGAGTACGGTTGAAGGCTCCCACGAAGCTAGGTTTCGAGTTCGTTCCAACTCTTCAATCCAGTGGGACGCTGAAATGCTGCCGTCTCCATTAAATGTAGGAAGCGATGCGGACAGGTCTGGAAGGGTCGTGACCTGAACTGGCGCTGCAGCGCGTTGTGACACTTGAAGGAGCTGTTGAAGTAAACCCGTCAGCAACTCGGTACTTTGGGCTGCATCGAAGCTCGAAGGAAGCGGCGTAGTGTTCGGGCGCTGGCTGGACGCTGAGGAATCTGGGGAAGGCGACAAAGGCGTCATTGAGCGGTTTTGGGCTATATCGGCGAGGAGACGATTGATCACTTCTTCCTTCGGCCCCGTAGCGTCCAAGTTTCGGCGAACCAACTCTTCACGGAGGAAGTCTGCTGTAAAGCCGGCGAGGTCCTCAGGCGTAGCCTCGTTCCAGTTCACAAGCGGCATGGCGTTCACAAGAAATTAGCAGAAGGAGCACAAGACTCACGAGAGACGAAAAAGGCGGGCAGGTCAAGTTGGTTCGGCTCTGCAGGCGAGCTACTTCATCGGGCGGGTGGGCGTCAGCACGACGGTCGGCGAAACAAAAGGCAAAGGCACGAAATGACTCGGACGAAGCGGCCGAAAGGCGTATCGGGCGGCGGACGGTAAACACAGGACGGAGCGCCGCGCGGCTAGTCCGGCGGATCACTTCACGAGGCGGGCAAAAGGCGACGTTCCAGGCATGGTTCGGAGTCGACTGCGCCAGTTGTGAGGGCTGGGCGGGCTAGGCATGAAGGCTGAGAGGCGTTGTGAACGAGAAGAATGCGCTTTATTCGAACATGAAAACGTGCCGACCGCGCCGGAGGCGGGAGCGAGATTGATAAAACGTGTCCCCGGCCCTCGCTTGGGCTGGGAGTTTATCTGAGTAAAGGCGCCGCAGGTGGCGCTGCCGATTAGATAGGCCGCTACGCTATAGTGCGCATGCGGGCGCTCACACCTGCGCACTGGCGCGAAAGTAGAATGAGTTTGATCTACAAAGGCAAGGGAGAAAGGGACAAGGCGAGCTCTTACAGGCCAATTACAGTCACGTCAGTGCTCTATAGATTAGCTATACAAGCCATCAAAGCCGAGTTGTTGAAGGGGGTTGAAAGTAACGGTATTTTAGGGGAACTGCAAAATGGATTTAGGCCGGGTCGACGCTTGGAAGACAATCTTTTCGTCATAACCCAGACCATCGAAATTTCGGCAGCACAGGGCAGACCAACATGGCTACTGTTTCTGGACATAAAGGGTGCCTATGACAACGTGGACAGGGGATTGCTGTGGCATATACTGGAAGAGGAGGGGATTGGGTCGGAATTTGTAGGGCTGCTAAGGGCAATATATGAGGGTAACAAGGCACACATTACATGGGAAGGGCGTACATACACAGAGCCCGTGTACATTCGAAGAGGTTTAAAACAGGGGTGCCCTCTTTCGCCATTGCTGTTCACACTGTACATTAGAGGAATGGAAAGACGACTAGAGGAGAGTGGATTGGGCTTTGATTTGTTACACCGAAGCAATGGAGTGTTAGTGGAGCAACGGATTCCGGGATTGATGTACGCAGACGATATAGTGCTGCTGGCGGATAATGCGGAAGAACTTCAAAAACTGGCTGACATTTGTGGTGATGAGGCAACGTACCTAGGCCTACATTTTAACCCACAGAAATCTGGAGTCATGGTGTTCAACGAGGAAGCTCATGTAGCACCAAAAAGGATACAACAGGAAGCCATACCATTAGTAAATAAGTACAAATACTTGGGGATCTGGCTTAATGAAGGAAAAGGCTACCTGAATGCTCATGAAGAACACCTCAAACTGAAAGGGAGACGAAATGCAGCACTAATGAAACATAGAGCACTTTGGGGACACAATAAGTACGAGGTAGTACGAGGCATCTGGAAAGGGGTAATGGTGCCGGCGCTCACGTTCTCTAATGCCGTATTATGCTTAAAGCCAGATATCCTGTCGGGGCTGGAGGTTTACCAAAAGGCAGTCGGCAGGTTAGCTCTGGGAGCTCACAGTAAGACTACAAACGAGGCTGTACAAGGCGATATGGGTTGGGCTTCATTTGAGGCGAGGGAAGCACAAAGTAAAATACGGTTTGAGGAGCGACTTAGACATTTAGATGAGAAGAACTGGGCAGCCAGAGTGCACAGATACCTGTACCTGAAAAGTGTGGACACCAAATGGCGGAAGAGGACGCGAAAGCTGGCGACTAAATATAACTTGACCGCGGCAAATAAGCAAAGGGGGCCAGTTAAAAAGCAAGTGAGGGAAACAGAGACGCTCATGTGGAAAGAGAGGATGGAAAAGAAGGGATCGCTGGGAATCTACAAGGCAAGCAAACAAGAGATCCGGAAAGAGAACTTTTATGACAACAATAAAGGTAGTGCGTTGCTCTTTGAGGCGCGGGCTGGCTGCTTGAGAACTCTAACTTACAGGAGCAAATATTCGTCACAGGATGAGACATGTGTTGGATGTGGCATAAATAAAGAAACAATCGACCACATAGTCATGGAATGTCAAAAGATTCAGCCGGATAGAAATGGGGGGAAGGTCACACTTCCTGAGGCGCTGGGCTTCGCGGTTGATGGAAGCATTAACTGGTCAGCAGTAGGTATTACTAAGCAGCGCCTGGAGTATTGGTGGAGGAAAAGCAGAAAAGTCGATAAAATAACATCCCAGCCAAGAGTAGCGGCTGGGCAAAATTAAAAAGACAGCCGAGTTGAGGGACAGAATTTAAACTCGAACTATTAAGGTAGGCTAGATGGCGCATGCCGTCACCCCGATTCAAAGGGGAGGCCTTTAATCATCATCATCATCTAAAGGGTACAGCCATAGAGAAATAAAAAAAAAGGTATGGTACAGCCATTTCCATCCATCCATCCATCCATCACAAATGCTACCATTGCTCTCCCATTGGTGAAAATGGCACACTATCCATCGTTCTGTGTGTCGCTGCGGTGTTCACGCGGAGTGACATTAGAGGTTTTTAGTTTGAAGTTTTCGTGCTCCGCTCCGCTCCGGGAGCACCCGCGAAGCCGCAGCACTTTTTCCACCGCACGTGTGTGATGGCTGAAACTCTAAGATATGGCGAATATCAATTGCTGTGTAGTGGGGTGCCCAAATACCTACGACAACTCGCCTACAACATGGTTCTACTCATTCCCCGACAGGCCTCGCGAACGGCGGCAGCAGTGGATCGCCGCTGTTCGTCGGGAAAGGCGAGCCCCTTCTCCGTGCCTGGTTTTTGCTCGCATCATTTTGTTCTGTCGTATTGGTGTTTGTTTGGTGCGCTCGTTCATCTCGACACGGCCAGGGACGAAGGCTGCCTATGTGTGTTCGTTCGATTCGACCTCAGTGCTGCATGCGGGATGAGTGCCTTTTAGAATGAGGAGCATTCATAGTCGCATTTACTCACAAATCCGGCCTCGGCGGCGGCAGCCCCACCCAGGCCCCACTGCGCGTGCTCGCGTCTCGTGCCGCATGCTTGCGTCTCGTCCGTAGTCTCGTGCTAACTGCCCCCCCCCCCCCCCCCCCCCCCGCTTCCTCGCCTTGCGAGGCCGACGCAGGCGGCGCCTGCTAGGAAAGAAGAAGAAAAAAAAAACTGCTCGCGTTGCACGATTGTTCGCTGGCCACCCCCTGTATGTAGGCACTGGATCGCACATCAGCATCCCACCTCTCGTTGAAGGCACAACCGTTCGCTGGCCACTCCCTGTATGTAGATATGATTTATTAACGATTCAAAGAGATTACATAACTGATACCTCGTGAACTGCTTCACGCTCGCCAACCATCTCCCCGCGTCCCCTTTGCGGCCACTCTCAACCGCTCGTAGTTCCACAACATCACGGTAGGTGCCGCCAGTTGTCCGTAGTGGATGTAATTGCCTAACACACCCGGACCCCTAAGTAATGCGTCCTCGCATTATTAATCCGTGACGAAATCTTGAAGCCAATGCGGTGGTTTTCTCAGTCTGTGCCGGTCATCAGTAGCTAACGGTGCTTGTGTGGATTGCGCAGAGTCATCGTGCAGTTGTGGGGTGGTGTCTTGTGTTTTCTCATGAAAGCACTTTAACTGCGTTGCACTGGCCAGCCTTGTTTCTGTGCGATTGTTCTTCGTTCTGGTGATCGTGAAAGTTTCCTTGTCGCAGTCAGTAATCGTGTATGGTTCGTCGTACCAAGGATCAAACTTCCCGGCTTTGGATGATGTCTCGTACCAGACTTGATCACCTACTTCATAGGGTGCTGGCTGGATGCTTTCGGTCGTGTTTGGTTTTCATACCATTTAGCTAGGCTGTTATGTTGTCAAATGCTTCTTGCCGGACCATCTCGATGTCTTGTTGGGCCTCAGTGGATGTCTACCTGCAGCTGGTTGTCAATTATTTTTCGAGGTGTGTAATTCAACAGCGATTCGAATGGTGAAATCTTGAGTCCAGCGTGAAACTGTGCGTTGACTTCGAAGGTGGTTTTGGCAAGGTATTCCACTCCAGTGGTCGACGTCTCCATTAACATTCTTGCGCAAGGTGGGAGAATTCGACTGTTGGCTCTCTCAACAAGTTCGTTTGTCCGTGGTGCGTACGGCACTGTGAGCGTGTGTTCGATGTGATTATGATGTAGATAGTCATTTGTTGTCTTCGACGTGAACGCGCTGTCGTTGTCCTTGATTATGGTTCTTGGAACTCCGAATTTAGTGACAAAATCTTCTTCAATGAGTTGGATCACATGTGCATGCACACTTGCTCGGCACTGCCCGTGTGGCAATGAACCTCGTAGCTGCGTCTACAGCTGTTATGACATATTTGTTCTTGTCAGCTGTGTTGATTGGCCCCACATGGTCGATGGCCACTGTGTGAAAGGGTGTTTGTGGCACCTCCCTTGGGTTGAGAGTTCCTGGTTGTACACCCGTTGCGTGGTTATGCTGCTGACACACCCGGCACTCTCTCACATACTGTGCAAAGTCCTGGTCCATATTCTGCCAGTAGTAACGTTTGGATAGCTTGGACTTCGTTCGCAGGGCGTCTCCGTGACCAGCATGATCGTGATGACTGTGCATTAGAGTAGATTGTAGCGATTTGGGCACGACAACCCTTTGTATTGTCTTCCCATGCTGGGTTATACTGTGCATAAGCATGCCATTAACGATCTGGTAGCTTTTGCCAGCTTTGCTTTGGTTTCCCGTTTCAGTGGCAGCTTCGATGTCTTTGATAATAGTGACCAGTTCTGCATCTTTGCGCTGGACTTCACACAGGCGTGAATCATTTGCCCTCAGCACAAACACTGCGTTCACCATTCTTGATAGTGCGTCTGCCACGGTATTTGTCTTGCCAGATGTGTGACGCACAGTGAAATGGTATGTGGACAGGCCTAGGACCATGAGTGCAAATCGCCTGTTGGGATTCTTTTTGGACATAACGTGCGTAACAGCTCAATTGTCTGTTATGAGCTCGAAATGTTCTAGTCCTTGCAGGTAACAGTGGAAAGGTTCGGTTATGGCCCAGTGAGCTGCGATTGCCTCAAGTTCCGTCGAATGCTTGTGGCTGTCGCTGTCGGAGACCTTTTTGCTTGCATATCCACTACCCGTGTGGTGTCGCCGTGTGTCTGTGTAAGGACTGCTCCGAGCGCTGTGTGGGAGGCGTCGACATGTACTTGTGTCGGCAGGTTTGGGTAGAACGTCGCCAAAATAGGTGGCTTTGTCAGTCGTTCCTTCAGCGTGTCCGTGGCACCTTGACATTCAGGCGTCCACTGAACGATGGCATCTTTTTTCGTGAGAAGTGTCAGTGGTCGAGCAATTTTCGCGAAGTCTTTTATGTACTTGCGGTAATGTGATGCGAGTCCAAGGAATGATCTCACTTCGCTTTTTGTTTTCGGCGCCGTGTAGTTCTTTATCGCTGCAATGCGATGAGGGTCGATCGTCACTCCTTCTTGTGATATGAGAAATCCAAGGAATGGTATCTGCTTTTCTGCAAACATACACTTGCTGTATACAACACGCAGTCCTAAGTCATGAAGAGCCTTCAGTACCTTGTCAAGCACTTCAATGTGTTGCTCAATAGTGTCAGTGAAGATGCACACATCATCGATGTAGACGATCACATGACCACTGTCGCTGAGTTCTTGAAGACCTTCATTCATGACGCTCTGCATTTTTGCGGGTGCTGTGCATAGGCCAAAAAGCACTCATAGTGGTTCGAAGTGTCCATGTTCTGTCACGAAAGCAGCTTTAGAAATGTCTTCTTTGCGTAGTGGTATGTTCAAGAAGGCTTTCTTGACATCCAGCTTTGACAGATATCGTGATCCGGCCACTTTTCGAATGAGTGTGTCGACTTTTGGCATCGGGTAGGCTCGCTTGACCGTCTTCGCGTTCAAAAATCGATAGTCCACACACAATCGTTTCGGTGTAGTCTCATGATGTGGTTGGTCGACAACGATTACAGGGGAGGCGTAGGCGGACCTTGAAGGGTGAATGATACCTCTTCTGATGCACTCTTGTGTTTCTTCCCGGATGAATCTCCTGTTTGCATCGCTTGTGCTGTAGGGCTGCATCCTGACGGGCTTTTGGTCAGTGAGCTCGATTGCATGTTCGACGTGTGTGCACAGACCCAAGTCATTGTTAGGGTGGGTGAAGACATTAATGTTGTTCCGCAGAGACACCTTCAACATATTTGTTTTACTCTCTGAAATCTTCGAGAACAGGTTTACATTGAATCAACTGGGCAATTTCTTCCGCTGATAGTAGTTGGGGCACTTCACGTGTCACAGTTATGTTCGCATCAATGGCTGCACACACTTCGATGACGTCTGTTGAGTGGACTTCTGGTTGGCTGGACTTTTCTTTGGAGTATTTGATGCCTTCGCTCTTTATGAGGTTGTCCGTGCACAGTTCTGTCACGAAGTTTGACAGAGACGGTTGTGTGTCCGAGTCACTGCTGGTTGATATACCGACATTCTTTTTCAGTTTCTGTGTGAACTCGATACTGTGAATTCCGTTATCATAGCGTTCAATATAGTCAAACGGAATGGCCTGTCTCCAGTCAAGGCCTACCATGACTTCGTATGGAAGATTCTTGATCACTTTAGCTTCTACTGTAGCACAGGCATCACCGATGGCGATCCTCGCTTGAGTCACACCGGTTGGCTTGCACGAGTTGCCAAATGGACCACCCAATACACAGTCCACGTCAGTAGTAACCTCGAAATTATGCTTTTGTGCAAACTGCTCGTCGATGAGTGTTACTGCAGAGCCTGTGTCCCAAAGTGCTTGTGATGTGATGTCATTTACACTGGTCTGTAGTAGTATTATCCTTCGCCTACTCGTCTCTGCGATGGCGACCCTATTGATGCCTCGTGGTGAGCTTTTCGCTTGGCGAGGTCGCACAGCTGCTGCTTTTTCATCTTCTGTGCGTGTGTCTGGATCAGGGCAGTCGATTGCTCTCTGTCTTCAGTTCCCGAATAGGTCGCCAGCGTTCCCGTGAGATCTGGTGTCGTAGTTATTTGCAGCTGAGCACTGGTGGCGTCATTCGATGTGCCTGGCGGTGTTCCCAACTGCCTTTCGAGAAGTCGCGCCATCATTTGCAACGTAGTGCTGAGCATCGCGAGCTTCGTTGTTCCGTTTGCGTTTTCGTTCAGCGTAGTTCGGTTTTCGATGGTGTCCGTGCGTGTCAAACGAGTTGGAGAGATGCTGTCTTCAAAAATATCTTGAGGCGTCGTAAGCTTCAGCTCGTTCGTGCCAAAAGCCGCTTCGTCCGCGATCAGCGTGGAGTTTTTCACTTCGGTGTGGTCGGTCTCCATACTGGTCGTTGTCGCTGACCTCACTTGCTGTTGCTAAGCCTCGGTACGTACAGTGTTATCTTCGCGCTTCGTCTTCTGTTCTACGTCGGCCATAGGTTCGTTGTTAAGTCCTCGTCGCCATGTCAGGGGTCGATGCATACGATGACACGACTGATTGAACGACAAACAACTGATTTATTAACGACTCGGAGATTACATAACTGCTACCTCGTGAACCGCTTCGCGCTCGCCAACCATCTCCCCACGTCCCCTTTGCGGCCACTCTCCTCAACCGCTCGTAGTTCCACAACATCACGGTAGGTGCCGCGAGTTGTCCATAGTAGATGTAATTGCCTAACAGTATTTGGCCGGATATGTCTTGGTTCGCAATACTCCCGTCCTGGCCTCAAACTGTAGAGAACTACCCCGAGTATTATCATAGATCCTTTCCCTGT